TATTAATAGCATAACCTAGACTAGATGCATCATACATATCCATAATGATTATATGCAAGAAGCAAAAAGCAATCAACACTAGATTAGTATGAAAACGATAACTTGGATCTTTATCTCAAGGCGATTAGTCATTAAATCAAAGAGCACAAAGCACTGATACCAATTGTTAGACCCTAGAGGGGGGGTGATTAGAGTCTTATGCTAATCTAATCCCGATTAAATTCTAATTAAAAATAAGCTGATCAATTTGTTCTTGCAGGAATGATATAAGATGGATATGAGCAAGAAAGATGAGAATAAGTACAAATGAAATATACGCTAAGCAAACACAAACACAAGATATGTTTACGAGGTTTGGTCCCCATGACCTACGTCCCCGCTCCTCACCTCGAGGAGATATCCACTATCACAATCCGGTTTGGAAGCCGGAACTTCTACACACTCGGTTTACAAGATCACCGAAAACTCTCACACTACACAATCACTAATCAATCACACTTTACACACTAAGTGTAGGAACCTAGTCCGTGTCTTCCTCCTCAAGTGCTCGAATGCAACCTCTCCCTAGGTTAGTCAACCGACGCTACTACTATTGGATTCGACCCCGTCTCTCGCCTTACACTTCTCTCGGTGTACAAGTGTATTGCAAGTGATACTCACAAATAAAGATTAAATATAATGGTTTGTTATCAACAACAATTGAGAACGCAAATGAAGCCCACACTCACTAAATCACACTCCACAACCCACACTATATAGTATGAAGATATTACGCTCAATATGTGTGTGTGATAACAGTGAGTGAAAATAATACAATTCAATAAATATAGCTAAGATATGAAAATTAAGTTGAAAGCTATATGTAAAGATGAGTTAGAGAAAAGTTCTCCATAGGCAAGAAGAACAGTGGATGATGAGATTAAAAATCCTTTTCTTGTAGTAGGAAAACTTCTTTTGAAAACAGACTGATGAAATCAGCTTAAACAGCTCTTTTAAACACACTTAAGATTTTGTTAAAACACAAAACTTAGATCTAGTGAAAGAGAGCAGCAATGGGGTATTTATACCCACTCAAAAACTCAGCAAAAACCAACTTGAAATGACCAAAAAGGCCCCAGAGAACCGTTGTAAAAATAGCCGTTAAAAAGCAATAATGACATCGGCGGTCGACCGTGGAAATCTCGCGGTCGACCGTGAGGCACAAAAAAATCTGAGAACAGGGTTTTAAAGCTGGCGGTCGACCGCGGCGGTCGACCGTGAAAGTCTCTGGATGTATTCACGGTCGACCGTCACAGTCGACCACGGGCATATAAAATCCAGACTATGACAATTTGTTCATGGCGGTCGACCGCAAACTGACACAGTTTGAAAACCTGTTTTTGGGTTGATTTTGAAAATACTTTAAAAATAGCAAATCAATTTCAAAAATAATAAAACTTTGGAAAAAGTTTCTAAATGATAAAATGAACCTTTAAAAATAGCAAATCAATTTCAAAAATAATAAAACTTTGGAAAAAGTTTCTAAATGATAAAATGAACATGTTAGAAAAGGAATTTTTGGAAAAATAATTTTCGTTTGTAAAAACACACTGTTTTTGAAAAGTGTTCGTAAAACCTGTATTTTATGAATATGAAAATTTTAATATGACTTATAACCATGCAAATATATATCATGCATATATTATATGTATATAATAAAGCATGAAAGAGCTGTAAACATGAGATAAAAGATATTGTAATAACGTTTGATGAAAAATCATTTATATGATAGAAAACGTCAAAAATCGTGTTAAGTGTACATATATTGAGCTTAAATATAAACATACAATATATTAAGTAAACTATTCTTATACCTAGGTAACTCCACACATATGAACTTGAATCTTTAACGCTTGATTGTCGTGTGTTGAAATACCTGTAAAGAGAAATATAAAAGCAAAACTAGAGAATATATTAGCGATAAATTATTTGACAAATCATCATCAAAACTATAGGGTCAACAGAAGTTAGAAGAATACAATATCTGTAACAATATTCATATCCAAGGTATGAGCTTCATAAACTTATAAGAACGTGAGTAATATAAAATGTCAACTTAATTTATTTTGTCAAATAATTTATTACAAATCATGAAAGATAAGGGGAATCAGAAGGATCACATACCCATCCCAAATAAATATTAAATTTCTCTTAGAGATTCTTATAGTAAAAGATTTTCAAAGTTGATGAGTAGGATAAATTTAAGAAAAAATAACCCGAACCAGTTCATTGAGTGATAGACTTGCTATGAACTCTACTCGTATAAAATTAATGTCACATGTACCTTAAGGTGTGCTTTTGTTTAAGGGCTAATTTTAGAAAACTCCCCCTCAACTATGAGGGGCATGTCAACCCACTCCACCCTCTTCCCCATAAACTATTTAAAACTGAGTAAATCTCCGTCAAGTTTTGGGTGTTTTGTAGATAATCTATCTCAACCTTTAAAATTTTGATTTAATCTCTATGAACATTTTTCACTTAAACCTGACCTCTCAAAATTAATACTATGGAGTCTTATCTATTATGTGATAAGTACTTGACTTGGAAAGACTAAAATATCCATCAATCATAAAAAAAATACCTTGGTTTATATCAGATGAAAGAAAAAGAGGTGATATAGAGGAAAAAAGAATTATAAATTGGTTGTGGCCATTTTATTATCAGTTGAGGGTTTCTTTTTTATTAAAATTACTTTCTTCAATATGGTATTTTGTCCAAATCGCATATTGAAGTAACTATGTTAAGGAAATTTGTTAATAGAAATGTAAAAGATTAGGAAAGGTATTATGAGACACGCTATAGTTGAGAGGTATTTTCTTAAATTGCACCAAATTTGAGAGGGGCTATCTATAACACCCCTCACAATAAGGGGGTTTTGTCAAATTGAATTGGTTGAGTAGGGTTTAAGACAATCCCCATAGTTGAGAGGGTTTTTAAATATTAACTCTTCCTTTAAATATCGCTTATTTATAAATTGTTCCTCAAAATTTTAATAATTTAATATTGATCCCTAAAATTATGAGCAATTTTAAAATTTTGCGGTAATAACATAAAATTATTGAATATATAAAATCAAGAAACTAATATCTAAATAACATTTACATATTTGAGGTAATAACATAAAATTATTGAATATATAAAATCAAGAAACTAATATCTAAATAACATTTACATATTTGCTCTTACAGGCATTGTATTAAATATCAGATCTAAATAACATTTACATATTTGCTCTTACAGGCATTGTATTAAATATCAGCCGATATATTGCTATATCAACTAATATATTGGATCAAAGACTTTATCTCGATAATATTTTATATTATTTTCTTTTATTTTGTGGTTTTTTTTATATATCGACCACTATTGAAAATATGGCCGATATATCTCTTGAAGATATCGAGAAAATTGTGTCATTTTTAATTTGATTGTGGGCTCGGGTTTGGATCGTGTTTGGGATAAAAATCGGAACCCAAAAACCCCATGAAAGGCCAAAATTCTTCTCCCAAATCTCTCCACTCTCGACTCTCCCAAATCTTAAGCACATATCTTGATGCAAGTTCTTATGTTTAAAATTCATTACTATATTAGATTACATATTACAATGTCATGTTATGTATGAATATTATCTCATATGACACCCAGTATTATATACATATCCCTAATTTTTACAATCCAATATTGTAGATTTTATTTGTTCAATATTTATCCGATGTCCAACACTTTGTAGTAGTTCTTCGAAAGCCTCTTCTAAAATTTTCTAAGTGAAGTATATAATTTTAGGAAGTAATTTAAAATCTTGAGACTCATTCAAAATATGATGCTATAATTTTTTCACATCTCAATTACTATATAAATATAAGCTCTGCATGTGGCCTCATATTGTATTATAAATATTGTTTATCAATGGGATCATATATTATTGTTTGTGGATAACAAAGTTTTCAAATCTTTTAAAGGCTTAACTGAACTTAAATACCTTATAATTTATCAAAATTATACTTATATACCTCCACTTGTATCTTGTTGTAGTTTCTTTTTAATTTAATATAGTGTATCTTGTTGCACTTAAATGTCCTAATGTTTTCTAAAATTTTATGTTTGTACATTTTGTCCTATTACCTAAACATAAGAATGTTCTTTGTATTTTCCTATATGAGTGACATGGTATAGTTTTAGTACAATTCTATGTTTTCTATTCTTTCCATAAATACTTTACTAACATGAAATTATCTATTAATATATTATTATACATTATTAATAATTAATATGATGTAGAGTTTTATAATAACATTGGAAGTTTTAGAGACCAAATTATACACATTTAAAGTGACATATAATATCATTAATTAACAATGATAAATTAATTTAGTTTAGTTTGTATTAGAATGTAATATCAAAAAAGAATAGGGGTAATATAGTCCTTGAAAAGTTTTTCCACAACTCCCTCTTTTAAAGGGAGTATGATATATTTAACTTGTTACAAATAAAATGCATATACTCTAATATGCGACGAGGCTTCAAAAACTCAAGGTGGCATTGATCTTCTTATCTTTCACTTGGATATCTTTAAATTAACTGATCCACTCTAGGGCTCCACCAATGAAACGATCCTCTCAGGATCCACCAAACAAACGATCATCTTCAAAGATCCATCAACAAATGATCCTCTTTGTGATCCAGCAAACAAACGATCTTCTAAAGGATCCATCACAAATGATTCTCTTCATGGATCCAGCAACAAACGATTCTCTTTAGGAATTTATCAACAAATATTCTTCTTTAGGATCCACCAAACAAATGATCTTCTCAGGGATCCATCAACAAACGATCCTCTTCAAAATGAACCAACCAAACATCAAAAGAAACCAATAGAACAATCTCCACCAAACTAATTTCTAAAATCCAAACCAAACAAACTAGTTTTTCGCTATACCAATCATAAAATATGTCAAGCGATAATGAACAGTGTCCCCGATGAACAGAACCATCTGCGAATGAACAGTATTCCTGATCGGCTAGTGGCAAAGATGAACAGTGACGCGCTGAACAATATTCCTGATCGTCTAGTGGCAAAGATGAACAGTGACGCGCGAATGAACAATATCTTTGTACAGTGGCAGAGTGGTTGTGGCTAGGTTTGGCAGGGTGACGTCTAGAGTTTTGCTCTGAGTTGCACAAATTTTATGTGGGCCCTACCTCATTTCTTGCACAGAGTAAAGGTGGGCCCCCAAGATATTTAATAAGATTGTTTGTTTGGATGGACGGTTGGGATTTAATAAAGGATCTGGTCGATGGCTCTAATACCATGTTGAAAGAAGTAATCCGAGATGACATATAGTTTCCTCTTTTGGATGTTATTTATAATGTCATAAATATAAACAGACTTGTCTCTAGCCAATGTGGGACTAAACGTATATAGAAAACCAATTCTCAACAAAAAGAAGAATCATTTTTATTAAGTACGTAAATTTTTTTAGTCAAACACCATTATTCATTTATTCCAAACTGATCACCCTCTGCGGTACTAGAATCATAATTTCAAAATATGGCTATCATCATCTTACATAAAATTGTATCTTTGCATATGCTTTATAAGCCTAGTGGAAAGTTTTTGTTTTGGTATTTCGAAAGGTCCCTTGTTCGAGGCTTACCAACGACAAGCTGAGAAGTATTTTATTTGAATTAATTCCTCATAAGTTCTAGTGGGCCGTGGACCAGGGGCCGTAGGTCGTGGGCCAATAGGTCGGGGATCAAGGCTAATCGGGCTGAAGAGCTAAGTGATGCTTTGTTAGGCGTACTTAGCCGAGAAGTATTTTATTTAAATTAATCTCTCATACGTTCTAGTGGGTTGTGGGCTGTGTGCCAATGGGCCGAGGATTAGGGCTAATCGGACTGAGGTGTTATGTGGCGCATTGTTAGGCACACTTTGCACTTCACACGGATGCATCGGGGTGAGGTGACGTTGTTTGGCGCCACGTTGGCTGCCACTGTGGTCACCATGAAGGTTGCCTCGCAGGCTGCTTCGCAGCATGCGGACGAGCTATGTATTCGCACGATGGTGTGACCCTAGCGTTCTCGAAGTCAGACGAGGTTTGTTAATTAGTTGACAAGGTTCTACTTGTTCGACGAGGTTCGTCTGATTCACAAGATCAGACGAGGTTCGCCTAATTTGACGAGGTTCGCTCGTTCAACGAGGTTCGTCTGTCATACGAGGTTCGCCTGTTTGATGAGATTTTCTCATTCGATGAGGTTCGTCTGTCATATGAGGTTTGCCTGTTTGATGAGGTTCACTCGTTCGACGAGGTTCGTTTGTCATACGAGGTTCGCCTGTTTGACGAGGTTTGTTTGTCAAACGAGGTTCGTCTGATTTGCTGTGACGTGACCCTCGCGTTACGTAGCAACGTATCCATTGGTTGCATCGTATTCAAGAGTTACTACATGCAATAGTAACAATAGTATTTAGAGCAATTTAATGAATTTATGTTATAATCTTAATTGCCATTGAGAATTGTAACAGTCACATTAATTGCAAGTGACTCTTGAGCTGGCTTTAGAGGCCTATAAATAGCGCCATTGGGCAGCTCTTAAAAACACATGCGAGCTTGGAAAATGAACGTCAGATCAATGAAAACTTGACGTTGTTGTTGTTGTTGTGCTGTTGCTACAGAAACTATGCGCGCAGGAACTTGCCCCTAAACCAAAATGTTTTGAACCAAAAGGTTTTGAGATTGATGAGATCTTTGCTTTGACCGAAAGATCTTATAGATCAATGAGATCTTGATACTACTGGGTTGGTGCACACCAGAGTGCTGTGTTGCTATTTCTGAAAGTAGTTTAGCCTTGGGATCATTACACCGGAGTAGGTCAAATATTACTTTAAGCACAATGTTTCTCAATCACACAGCAATGGACTAAAATATTTAAAATTATAGGAAATCATAATTTCTCTATTTTATTCCAGATTTAACTATAATTTGTAACAATCTTAAAGCAATATTTTTGATCTACAATAGATCTTGCGAGGACTCTTGGAGTGGGCTGGCTCAAGTTAGAGAATTTTAACGGATCCAACTTTAACGCATGGCGTCGAAAAGGGATTTTCGGGATGCAACTCCTAAAAATCTACTATGTGGTTTCTGAGGAGAAACCTAACTTTGAAGAAGACTCTAAGTCTGAAGCTTCTTTAGCTAAAGATGATCATTTATGCAGGAGTTATCTTCTTAACTGTCTGGCTGATCATCTGGCAGATACTTACACCAACAAGCCCTCTACAAAGGAAATCTGGAATGCTCTGGAGGAGCAATACAAGGATAAGGAGAAGCTTTCCAAGTCACACGTCATTGATAAGTTTTTGGGCTTCAAATTTGAAGATGACACTGAGATTTTGCCTCAAGTCAAAGAGCTTGAAATGCTTGTTATGAAGCCGAAGGATGAAATGATTAATCTTTGTCAAACATTCATTTTTGGAGCAATTGTCAACAAGCTTCATCCATCTTGTATGTCATTCTCCACGGACATTCAAAAAAGGAAAAGATATGTGACTCTGTCTGATTTGAAGAGGTTCATTCGGATCGAGGACGAGATTCAGACTCGTACGAAGAATGAGCTCCTAGCTAAGCAAAAGGCGTCTGCTAACATGGTGGCTACTAACTCTGAGAAGGGTACCAGTTCTTCTTCTAAAAAGTCTTTTAACAAAAAAAAGAACCATAATCCGAAGAACCTGAATATTCAGAAGAAATATTTCAAGAAGAGGAGCGGTAAATGCTTCAACTGTGGGAAGCAAGGACATTTTGCCAAGAATTATAAAGCACCAAAGAAGGGAACAACATACAATGTTAATCAACTTGATAATTATATGGCTATGCTCTTTTAAGTGGAAACTCCCAGCAACGTTTCTAGTTGGTGGTTAGATACATGTGCTACCTGTCATGTCTGCTCCAACAGAGATTTGTTAACTTCCTATGTTTCTATCATAGAGAACGTATCAATGGATGATCGTTCTGTAGTTCATGTTCTTAGAATTGGGACTGTGGTGCCGACTCTTTCTTCAAGGAAGACTCTCACATTGAAGGATGTGAAATATATTCCCTCAATTGCCAAAAACTTAGTCTCTAGAAGCATGTTGTGTGACGTTGGTATGAGACTGGATTTCTAAGGAGGAAATATTATGTTATCTTTTAAGAAAAATATATTTTGGTAATGCATATCGTACTGATGACATGTATAAGATCAGTACTATTGTACCCAACTCAGTTATAAATGAAGTATCCTCTTCTGCTTACTCCTCTGTATTATGGCACAATAGGCTAGGACATGTAAATTATAGAAAGTTGTCTAGCATGGAGATGTTATGATTACTTTTAAAATGTGGGGGTAACAAACCTGATAAGTGTGATGTCTGTGCTCAATCAAAGCTGACAAGGAAGCATTTCAAAGTGTCATAAGGAGCACCAACTTATTGGATCTGATTCACTCAGATACTTGTGATTTCAAGAGCTTCGTCACTGGAGGCGGCATGAAGTACTTCATCACCTTCATTGATGACCACTCTCACATCCGCTACATCTACCTGCTGAAATCTAAAGATGAAGCCTTCAGCAAGTTTGTCGGGTTTCGTACTTGAGTAGAGAAGCAACTTGGACTTCAGGTGAAAAGACTCAGGAGTGACAGAGGATGAGAGTACTGATCTAAGGAGTCGGAGGCATACTTCAATGAGCATGAAATTATTGCTGAAACTACTGCTCCGTATTCTCCACAATCTAATGGAATTACAAAAAGGAAGAATCACACATTGACCAAGATGGTGAATTCGATACTAATCACATTCAGTCTACTTACATGCTATTAGGGAGAGGCTTTGTTGATGGCAATCTGGATTCTGAACAAAGTGTCATATTCCAAAACTGATAGTACTCCTTATCGGTTATGGTTGGGATATCCAAATCCTTTGGATAGTCTCAAAGTGTGGGGTGTCTCGTATATGTTCGAGTTCCAGATATCAGAAGGCCTAAGATCGGACCAAAGGCAAACAGATGTGTATTTCTTAGCTTTGCTGAAGATAGTGATGCTTGCAGGTTCCTTGATCTTGGAACCAACTCCATCATTAAAGCTCGGGATGCAGAAGTATTTGAGGATAAGTTTATCAAAGATAAAGGATTATTGCTCAAAGATATAGCATAGAATGCTAGTACGTCAGATGCACCAGAGGAGCCAGTTTCGTGAGTAACTGAAAGTGTCAGTGATGAAGGAGTTACTAAACCATCTTCCAAGCGTGTCAGGAGACAGAAAGATTTTAGAGATGATTTCATCACCTATAATATGAAAGGAGATCCACAGACTTTCCAAGAAGCAATGCAGTCAACAGATGCTCTCCTGTGTAAAGAAGCTCTATATGATGAGATGGATTCATTGATCCAAAATCACATGTGGGAGCTGGTGGATGTACTTGAAGGTGCTAGGCTTATCAGTTGCAGGTGGATCTTTAAGAAGAAGCTTCGTCCTTATGGTACTATTAAGAAGTACAAAGCAAGACTGGTGACGAAAGGATTCTCTCAGAGAAAAGGAATAGATTTCTTTGAATATCTATGCACCAGTTTGCAGGATCACTACCATCAGAATACTTATCGCATGGACAGTGGTAAAAAGGTTCGTCATACATCAGATAGATGTGAATACTGTCTTTCTCAATGGAGACTTCACAGAAGAGATCTACATAGAGAAACCAGAAGTACTTGATGCTCCAGCTGGTAAAGTTTGTAAACTTATTAAGTCTCTATATAGACTTAAGCAGGCACAAAAACTCTATCATGAGAAGTTTGATAGGGTTATTCGCAACAAATGGGTATCAAGTCAGTGAGTCTGACAAGTGCTTATACACCAAGGTCACTTAAGGAAAGGTGGTGGTTATCTGCCTTTATGTGGATGATATGCTCATCGTCGGGAGTGATTTAGAGATAGTAACATCTACCAAAAAATTTCTATCAGCTCGATTCAGCATGAAAGACCTTAGAACTACGGATGTGATTCTCAAAATAAAAATTATATACTCTGAAGAGGGTATTGGATTGTCCCAATCTCATTATGTCGAGAGTATGCTAAGGAAGTACGGCTACTACAACCTGCCAGAACTGTCAGTGCCGTATGATTACAACAAGAAGCTTCGATCGAACACTGGAAGACTAGTAGATCTACTAAGGTATTCAAAGATAATTGGAAGTTTTATGTACGTGATGAGCTACACAAGGCCAGATATAGCATTCGTTGTAGGAATACTTAGTAGGTTCATAAGTAATCTTGGAAAGCTTCACTGCTATGCTGTCCAGATATTGATGAGATACTTGAACGAAACTACAGGTCTAGGCCTATTCTACACTAGATATTCGCCTATAATCGAAGGCTATTCAGATGCGAGCTGGTGCTCAGAACCAGATGAGTACAGATCTACTGGAGGTTTTGTCTTCACCATGGGTAGAGCTACCATCTCGTGGAAATCTAAGGAGAAAACTATGATTGCACAGTCATCGACGGAATCTGAGTTCTTCGCACTCTGTGCTATAGGAGATGAAGCTAAGTGGCTCAGTTGTATTCTCTAAAACCCTCCATTAATAGAATTACAGCGTAATTATAATCTATTATGATAATTAGGCAACGGATGCTGTGGCAGCGAACTCATTGTTCAATGGAAACAAGCGGACCATTCGTCTGAAGCATGGCTATTTGAGAGAATTCATTTTCTAAGGAGTCATCTCGGTGATTGACGTTCAGTCTTTAGAGAATATTGCTGATCCTTTGACTAAAGGTCTAAAAAAGGATATAGTAGAAAGAACGCCTGCTGCAATTGGTCTCAAAGTTTTGTGAATCTTACAAATACTTACCATATTCATCTAATTATTAGTTCAAAGCTTACACTACTAATAATAAAGATAACTGGTTCAAAAATCAAGTAAGATTTGCAAAGTTTGGTGAGTCTTACAAACACTTACCATTTAGTCAAGTTATTAGTTCAAAACTTACGCTACTAATGACAAGATGATTGGTTCAAAAGTTAAGTAAGATTTACAAGTAAAATCCTATCATGTAAAGAGGTTGGCTGTTAAGCCTTAATGAGTCTAAAGCATTTCAGATACGAGATGTTGGATAGGTATCATGCCTAAAAGACTCACCGATAATCCTATCATGTAAAGGGGTTGGCTGTTAAGCCTTAATGGGTCTAAAGCATTTCGGATGCAGGGTGTTAGATAGGAAATATGCCTAAAGGACTCACCTATAATCCTATCATGAGAGAGGATGACTCTTAAACCTTAATGAGTTCAAAGCATTTCGGATGTAGGATGTTTGATAGGAAACATGTCTAAAGAACTCACTTATGCCTAGGTGGAGATTTGGCCGTCTCTTATGGTGTCTTGTGAAAAGATACCTAGGGTCCTAGCAGAAACCAGGTCAAGCACATGGCCATAAATATGCAAAGGCAAAGGCAATTATGGTTCAAAGTGAAAACTATCACAGATGAGTTTGATCGTGTGTGATCGCCAGATTTTAGATATGTACTGGTTCAAGTCTCTGTGATACCATGCATCTATCTTCTATTCAATTGGTCTAAGGGGTATTCGAGTCCTTATAACATCTACCTTATGCACAACGATTGAAACGACTACACCATAACACGATACTAGTTTAAAAACTTGTGGGGGATTGTTGGATTTTTTAGTTCAAACCGCCTTTCAAAATGAGTTTTCAAACTATATATATATTAACTACAAGTATTTTTCATAAATGCTTAGTAACCTAGTGGAAAGTTAATGTTTTAGTATTTCAAAAAGTCACTTGTTCGAGACTTGCCAACGGCAAGCCGAGAAGTGTTTTATTTGAATTAATCTCTCATAAGTTCTAGTGGGTCATGGGCAGGGGACCGTGGGCCGTGGGCTAAAAAGGCTGGGGATCGGGGCTAATAGGGCTGAGACGCTAAGTGACGCTTTGTTAGGTGCACTTTGCTCTTCACATGGAGGCATTAGGGCGAGGTGGCGCTGTTTGACGCCACGTTGGCTGCCACTATGGTCACCACGAAGGTTGTTTCGCATGTGGACGAGCTACGCATTCGCACGAGGGTTCCCTGGCGTTCTCAAAGTCAGACGAGGTTCGTCAATTGGTTGACGAGGTTCCACTTGTTCGACGATGTTCGTCTGATTCATAAGATCAGACGATGTTCGCTCGTCAAATGAGGTTCGTCTGTTTGATGAGGTTCGCTCGTTTGATGAGGTTCGTCTGTCATACGAGGTTCGTCTATTTGACGAGGTTTGCTCGTTCGACGAGGTTCGTCTATCATACGAGGTTCGCCTGTTTGACGAGATTCGCTCGTTCGACAAGGTTCGTCTATCATACGAGGTTCGCCTGTTTGACGAGGTTCGTTTGTCAAACGAGGTTCGTCTGATTTGTTGTGACGTGACCCTCGCGTTACGTAGTAACGCGTCCATTGGTTGCATCATATTCAAGAGTACTACATGCAATGGTTACAATAGTATTTAGAGCAATTTAATGCATGATGTTACAATTTTAATTTGTCATTAAGAATTATAACAGTCACATTAATTGCAAGTGACTCTTGAGCTGGCCTTAGAGGCCTATAAATAGCACCCTTGGGCAGCTCTTGAAAAACACACGCGAGCTTGAAAAATAAACGTCAGATCAAAGAGATCTTGACGTTGTTGTTGCTGTTGTGCTGCTGTTGCAGAAACTGTGCCCGCAGGAATTTTTCCTTAAACCGAAAGGTTTTGAACTGAAAGTTTCTGAAATCGAGGAGATCTTTTCTTTGACCAAAAGGTCTTATAGATCAAGGAGATCTTGACAGTACTAGGTTGGTGCACACCAAAGTACTGTGCTGCTGTTCTTGGAAGCAGTTTGGCCTTGGAATCCTTGTACCGGAGTAGGCCAAATATTACTTTAAGCACAACGTTTCTCAAACGCACAGCAGTGGACTGAAAAATTTAAAATTATAGCACATCATAATTTCTCTGTTTTATTCCAGATTTAACCATAATTTCCAACAATATATGTATGTACATGTGTGTGTCTATATATATCGCACATTAAGGTGTGTACGTGTGTATAGACACACATTAAGGTGGTAAATTTAGAAGTGTTTTTTAAATAATTTTCTAAGGATGTATATAAAATTTATCAATGAGATATATAATTTTCTATATTCAAATAACAGAAGTGCATTTATGATTTTAATCAAACAAGTTAACAGCATTACTTGATGTCAATATAATTTTAACCACTCGTTTATGCTTACTTTTTTCATACAGAATTAAGTTTTAACTTTCTCTTGGATCCTCTGGAGTATATATGAAGTATAAATATAGTGACCCTTCCATCTTGAGTTGAAATATATATAATATAAAGGCCATTTTGGGAACTCGAGTCAAACCAAATTAGTGGAGCAAAATCAACCAAGGATTACTGCTAGCTAGTTTGTTAAATAATTGGACCAGGACTTAATTAAATTGGTTTGTTAGGTTAATTTTTTGCCTTAAATAAAGCCAGGATTTTTCCATCACCCCCTCAACCCAGAACGAAATTGATTTTAGACTAGTTCTAGATTAGAGAGGGAGTTGTCACACTGAC